TATAGTTCCCTGTGCTATAAGTAGGTCCTTTTTGTTTTTCTGTTTATATATACTAACTGTATCTGTTAGTCCCAAACTCCTAATCTGTCACCACTGGGGATCGAAGCCAGTTTTTCGGGACTTGAAGGAAGAAGGAGAGTCAAGGTGTCGGACACAGTGCAGGGTGGCCACTTGTTTAAGAGGTGGAGCCGTGGAAAGGAGGAGGGTGCTGCTGAGTTTGTTAGAAAGGAGCCCTCTCAAGGAAAGGACATAGTTCCCCGAGACTGGGGTGATTTGTTTATGTGTTGGTGCCTGGAAAATAGAAAAGAAGGACTTTGTGATTCTAAATCCTCTATTGGAAATTGAGGAAAGGAGCTATCTTCTTCCAGAGAGGTTGTGAGGAAAAAAATTCAGATAATTGTCGAGCGCTCAGCGAGGAGCAGGTGAGTAACGGGGAGGATGGCACAAGCGTGTCGGAGAGTCAGGCGCGTGTGTGTGGTCTGCGGCTTTCTTCCTGCTGAGGTTAATCCGTAGGCTTAAATACGATCACTAACTCATTAATAATTAAGCCTTATATACAGTGGAAGTCATTGCCTCTGTTGCTGCTGTGGCAGTTATTAATGGAAGAACCTATTATCCATCATTTTTAGGGGGAAATCAAATCATGTCCTGACTGAAGAACGTCATTTTGTTCCCTCCAGCCTGTAGTTTGCAGAGGAGGGAAGGGAACTTTGTAGGTGCTTCCATATGCTAGAGAGATGCTCTGCGCTGTACACAGTCTGCTTCATTTAATACTGGTTTACAGATGAGGAAAATTAAGGCTCAGATCCAAAATCCAAAATGCTTTGAAAACCAAGGAGATTTTTTTTTTTGTAGCATGTTTGGCATCAAAACCTGAACTATATTCACATGGAGTTTATTTACAATCTCTGCTTATCTCATTTAATATGAGTATTCAGATGTTTTACAGCAGAAATATTAGTGTCTTTGATTATTGGGTGCTCTCAGACCATGCTGAGGGTATCATGTAATATGTGATATTTGTACAGCATAACTTCTTTGACGTCCAAAAGGTTCTGGAACAAATTCTGGAACAAAAACTTATGCAGTAAGTCAGTCAGTGGTGGACCTTAGTTTTGATCCCATCATGGTTTCCTTCCTGCTGTGTCATTCTGCCTGATTTTGTAGGCCAGAGATTTATTGTACATTTATAGATGTTTTAGTTTTTGTTCTAAAATGTACCCAGATGTTGGTTTGATTCTGGTACGGGCAGACACCTAGACGTGGAAATGATCGTCAGGAGAAAGTTTATACTAGCAAATCCCTAGAAGCAGGGATTGCGACACCCAAGCAGGGCCACAGTGGGACGCACTCGGGTCGCCTGGAGGCAGAAGGCATGAGGGGGAGTATGGGTTTCTGTGGGAAGGAATTGGCTTTCGTGGGAATGACTAGGCAGGGTGTGGTAGGCCCGCTCGAGCAAACTTAATATGAAGAGTTTCAGTGATTTTGGTGGACCCTGGGCTCTGGGGTGGTCTCTGGTTGTCTAGTACCGGCCCCTGCGGTGGTCAGGGCAGAGGGAATACTGCCTCTGGAGTGCGAGAGCCCGAGAGACAGGGAGCTTCAGAGAACTGGCTCTGTGCTGGCTGCTTTGCAGGTCACAGGTGTGCTCACAGGGACACTGTTCTGCATAGAAGTGAACTAGCCCTGGGAGGGTAGTCTTGCCAGGATTGGCAAAACCTGCAAGTGTCAAACAATCATAAAATGCAGGAAAAAAATTTAAATGATGAATACATTTGAATGTAAGAAATAAGATCTACGTGGATATTTTTCCCTTGGAGCAGGTATTTGTATTTTAAAGTGATTATTTTCACTAGTTGGTAAAAATAACAATAATGATTCTTTAGACTCTTTTGAGGGTGAATTTTGTCTTGCTTTTAGCTCCTGGAAATTAACTATCGCTTTTCTCTTTTGCCTGCTAAGAGCTCTGTGTTCAATTGTATATGTTCAAGAAATGCCAGTGACCGTCTTGTGAGTTTTATCTGTGAAACAGTCCAAGTATTTTTAAAGTCTGCTGGAACTTGTGTGTGCAGGTGGAGGTGTCTCGGGGGACCATGCATTTATTCCAGCTATGTCATCATGACTCTTTTCGGTTGTTTTTGGTTTTCGTTGGGTTGTTTGTGTCTGGAATTCCCTTCAGGGTCTGTAGCAAATGCTTAGAAATGTCTTCAGTGATAGCTTATTTTCATCCCTTGAAGGTGCTTTGGTTTTTGGAAACAGCCAACTGCACATTAAATGGAGTTAGATTAAGTTGATGATATGGAAACAAACAAAAAAAAAGATCTGACTGAAAGACAGTCAGTAATGGGACTGGTTTGCCCAGGGAAGCCTCGCGCCGGCCTTAACAACTCTGGGAGGGATGGGCCTACAATGGCTGGAGCAACAGCCACACACCTGAAATAAGGGCTTCTGAGCTTTGAAGAGACAGGGCTAATGTTGATGAGTAGGTTTAGATGTACTTGTTTGAGAATTAACCTCTTTTCTGAATGTTGAAGGGAAATAGCTGAAGAAAATAAAAGTAGGGTGGGAAAAAAACAACCGGGTGGGCCTGTAACTGTAGATCACCTTATAAAAAACCAAAAGAGAGAAAATTAATAGGGAAGAATTATTAGTATGTGAAACTATTGGATTTCTTTTCCTCCAAAGTAAGGGTCCTGAAGGACTGCTGGGCTGGTATCAAATGGCAGAATACTCAAAGCAGACATAAGTCAAAACGGCAGCCCTGGGGTTGTGTGTGTGTGTGTGTGTGTGCGCACGTGTGTGCGTGTACACGCTTGTGCAGATATGCCGCTTCTAGATTCTAGGTAAATCTTTCTCAAATAATTCAGAATTTTCAGCAGACTAAACTTACATGCTTTTTCTTGCTTTGTCTTCTGGTGTCTAAAATATACAGCTTAACCCCATTATTCTTCAGTTTCACTAGTGTTCTGGAATACATTCAGCAATCTTACGCCTCTTCTTTGCTCTCATAATTGTACAGAATTTGATTTGGGCCCTTTGCCTTGTACTTTTCAGTTACTTATCTGGAAGACTTGTCCTAGTGTGTTTATCCCCAAAGGACAGGGACTCAGATTCTTATTTTAGGGCAATATCTGGTTTAGGGAAAGTTCTCACTGATACTGAATGAAGGGCTGAATTTGGAAATGAGCCTTAAAATGAGTAGCTTTTGATCACGGAACATTTCTAAAATAGTATGATTCCTTGGGAGGCCTGAGGCCGACTGGTGGCCCAGTTTGGTTCATAAGGTTTGGAGAACACAGAGGGAATGAGTATGTAGAGAACTAATACTCCCTTTGGAGAGGCTCAGGGGAGAAGGCTGAGCTTTTCCCCCTGTGACTCATCCACAGGACGTGCTGAGTTTTAGGTCAGCTTCTGACACTTCACCCACTTACAGGTTGCTGCCCACCCCACCATCATCCGCTCTGTCCAGACTGTCAGCGAAACTCAGAGTATACGAATGACTTTTAAGTTTTAGTTCAAATAAGACACAATTAGGAAGGTAAATCTTCTGGGGAAAAAAATTACATGATGTATTTTCCAAGTCAAATATTTACTTTGAATTATTTACATACTGTTTACTTTATTCGTGAGAATCATGAGATTCTCTGTTCTTTAAAACTAAAAGATTTACATTGTGGTTGCAATGAATAATTGTTATTTGTCATTTAAGACCCTAAATGAGTGGAATTCCTCCTTATTATTGCAAAATGTATATAAACACAGATGTTATAGGCAGTGGCCTCTTTTATTAAAGCCATGACATTGATAGGTTGTTGCTTATATAAAAATTTTTGTGGAAAAGTTGCAGGTGGTTGGGACGTTTTAAGGTGTTGTATAATCAAACCAAGAGACTGGTTTCTTTTTGTGGAGTGTGGTGAGGAGAAAGAAGAAAACCGTATTATCCTCATCGTGGTGATCAAAAGATCTACCCTAAGTGTACACTCATGAAGCTGTTTTTTGCTCTGATCATTAGTTTTCTTGTGGTCATCTTCCACGTTAGCTGTCACTGATAGACAGAATTTTGTAGCTTGGCCTGGGTCTTGAAAACCAAAAGACTGGCTTTAAGATCTTCACTGATCTCTTGGCACTTAGACTTTGTAGCTGCACTAACGGGATTTCCTCATGTTTGAGTAACAAACAGCATAATTTGTCTGAATTAAGGCGAGGTTATCATTTAGCATAGTTTCATGTAACCTGTATTTAAATAGCATGGAGTAGACTTTCATAAGGGGTCTTAAAGAGTTCTCTGAAGCTAATTAATGTTGAAATCATGACACTTGGTAACTATGAATGTCATATGGATCCTCAGATGAAATAATGCAATTTTTTTTCCCACATTCAGTTCTTTTGAAACTAGCAAGTGATGCTTTACCAAGTGATATGACCTTGGCTCTTGCTTATCTCCTTGCCTTACCGCAGGTAAGTTTACCCTTACCAAGAAAGAAGGACTTACAAGTGGAGAAACTGGAAGTCTAAACTGGGGATCTTCATCAGTAACTTGTTTATTACATGTTTGACTTGTTTCTGATTGTTCTTGCATGATGGAAGGACTGTGGGCAGTATCCAGTTCTACAATATTAGCTGAAAAGTTGGTTTTTAAATCTACTTTTACACACATAGGATCTACCTTTATGGTGCCTGCTGAACTTCAGTGTGGTCATATTAAGATGAGCTTGAGCTTGAGTTGATATGATGGAAACTTAGGAGCAAAATTCTACCAGTAATGACTAGAAATATAATGGTTTATGGTGATGGTGCTGATATCCTTTCCACTGAGCTCATTCTCTCATGCTCCCTTCTAGGTGTTGGATGCCAACAGGTGCTTTGAGAAGCAGTCCCACTCTGCGGTGTCCCTGCAGCTGGCAGCCTACTACTACAGCTTGCAGATCTACGCCCGGTTGGCTCCGTGTTTCATGGACAAGTGCCACCCTCTCTACAGGGTGAGTCCTCGTGGCTCCCGCTTCATTCACGAGCAGAGTTAAAGCTTTTCTAAGACAGCTGAAACACGGGCTTAGCCCTCTGGAGGGACCGGCGCGCTTTGTGTTCAGAATGCATTCCCAGCGGCCGGCAGCCTTTGCCTCTTCTGTGTTAGATGTAGTTGCTTTTCCAGGCATCCAGTAAGAGGTAGACTTTCTGATATTTATTGTGAATGCTGATTCGTTCGTCCCTTACCTCTTCTATTATTTGTTTGATTTTACAGCATTCTTAGGAAAGGCTAAAGCAGTAGGAGAGGAGAAATGGAGAACTGGCTTCTTAATTCACTTCTCCAAAGGAAGATGGCTTTGTTGAATTTAGGACAGCAGGCAGTGTAATTCTTCGAGCGGTGCTGCACTTTCATTTATTTTTAAGCCAGAGATACGGGAGTGTAATTGCACAGCTGAAATGTTGAGACACGTTGTGCCTCCTTGCCACCAACCCTCTGACAGCTTTTATTTACCTTCATTGTTACTTTCTGAGTGAGAGCAGCTAAGCGGGGTCTCAGGTTACATGTGCCTTCCTTTGTGGACACAGAAGTACTCCAGATGCTGCCAGAAATGGAAGCCCTTCAGGTTTGTGTACACCAGCTTTAGGGAAATTACTTATGTTTCATACCGGACATTTGAAGAGAATTACTACTTTAAGAGCAGATAAGCAAATAGATCAGACTTGCAAATCCACTATGTGTACAAATCCAAGGTTGAGATTTTATTGAGACAGGATTCTTCCTCCCCTGCCCCAAAGCAGATTGTAAAGAAATAGTTTCACATGTGTATCAAAGTTGTAGCTGCCTCAGCCATCCAAACATATCTAAGAACCTGTAAGTACATGAGGATATTCCATTTGTGGCAAAATCTGTGGCTTTCATTCATCAGTTTTTATTTAAAAAGAGGAAGGGCCGTGGGGGAACCATGTACAACATCAGTTACTCCCCAAGGGCATCACCATTAGGAGGTGGGTATTGTTCTCAGGCCTGATTTTACTAGGAAGACATTTGGCCAAGAAACAGGAGTGTTTCTCCTTTTTAGCCAGTTGATAAAAGATAATACTTTATTTTGGGAATTTTGAATTTATTTATTTTCTTTTCGATATCCACTGCTGCTTTGCAGGGATATTTTTATTCTGCACTCCTTTGTCTTGCTTTTATATCGCAGGTATGTTTTTATGTGAAATGAGAAATTGGCCTACTGTGTTGCAAATTGAAGGAATGAAGTGATCATATAGGTAGAAGTGTGGCAGGTTTATACCTGGAACAATGTGCTTACTCAGTGTCTTGCTCATGACATTCAGTCGGACGGCTGGCCAGGCGTGTGCGTGGCATGTTTGCCGGTGTCTGCTTCTCAGCACCCTCGTCTTTTCATGGTGGTATATCTGCACACAAGTACAGCATAATTTGCTCCGGAACTCCCGAGTCACATGCATTATTCCGATGTCTGTAGACTGCATCAGGGCCATACTGTGTGCCCAGCACTGTGCTCCACTTCTCATGAATACAGGAGATGAAGGCCACTCAGCCAGCTGGCCTGTCACTAAACCCCTGGAGCACCTGGTGTGTGCGGGGGACTCTGAGCTCTGACATAAGAAGTTGAAAGTGGCTGCCCCACCTCCTCTGTGGGTCCACATGCGACACTCACACAGCAGTGGGTTGGAAGAGCTGCAAGTAAGAGGACTGGAACCCGATGTAAATGTAAGACAGACTAAGGGCTTGGACTGTCACGGAGCCAAGGAGCTTGCTACGTTTAGGCCTGATGGTTCTGTTCATTTCCTAAAAACTTAAAATAGTCCTCTTGGAGGAACGTTCTAGTACAGTATATATTGTTCCTATTTTCCCTGCTAGTAAATTACTTTGTACCAAAAATGAAAAGTCCTAAAAATACTGCTTGTGAGAGAGGTCAGGTAGGAGAGAACCGTGCAGTTCCGCCCCAGCTTTCCTGTCTGGCAGGGACTGTTCCCTGCTTGAGACGCCCAGGCGCTCTGCAGGGAGCCCCATTCGGATGTCTGCAGCAGGAGCACGCAGAGGGAGAAAGTAGGACATGGAAGGCTAGGGGTCAGAAGTAAAGGTGTGTCCGTCTTCTTTTCACTTGGTAGGAAGCATGAGTATTTTATTTTCAGGTTTCTATTTTGCACGTCCTTTCCTCAGCCCAGCGTTCTTGGAGTGCCTGCTCTGAGGGACGGCCTGGAGCCTGGCCTTGCAGGAGGAAGGATAGTGACACTTAATTCCGACCACTTATTACCCTTTACCCCAATTTCTGTTCTTCCTTCCAACTTGTGTCAACCTGCCTTGACTGCCGTTTGACTCTTGGAATTGTTCCTGCCTGTGTTTCTCTACCCAGCTGTCCTTTCCCTCAAAGCTGTCCCTGGGAGCTCTCTGGCCTGGCTCTAGGCCTTGGCCTCTGAGTCCCAGCTGTGGGACACGGTTCCCTTCCGGGGCCCAGGGGAGTCAGGCAGCTGCTGTTCAGCGTTGTTGCTGATCCTGGGGGAGTAGAAGCCCGTGCAGTTCGTGCGGCCCAGTGGTGATGCTGTGGCACGTGGTTTCTGCCTTGTCAGCTGCTGCAGACAGGAACAGACATGCCGCGCGACAGCGCTAGTCTGGCACGTGGCTGGGGCCCTAGCTGGCCAGGTCTCCATGGAAAGCATCTGGTTGTTAGTCTGAAGGGTAAAATGAAGAGTGAAAAATGAAATGAAACATCCTCTTGTCTTCAGCCTTGTTACTTTTGTGTCTTCCCCCAAGGGTCATCAGAGCAGTCTTTCTCAAGTGGAGGTCTGGCCATCGTCCCACCTAAAGTCCAGTGATTTTTTTCCCACCCCAGCAGGATAGTCGCCTCTGTCTGTTTCTGCAACTTCATCTTCCTTTTATCCAGCCATTCCAAGCTGCTTAAATGTCTCGGACACCCTGTGTATTCTCTGTTTCTTGTCTTGAACACGTTGGGCTCTGCCTATAATGTTTCCCCAGCATTTCTTTGCTCAGAGACTGGGTTCCGGTGGCACCTCGCCCAGGCCTGCTTCCTGCCGCCGTCCTGTGCTGCTCCCGGGCTGTGCTGGGTGCCCCTGCTTGTGCGTTGGGACTGTGCTTGACTTAGCTCCGTCGTGGCCCTTCTGCTCTGTTGCTTTCATCTCACCAGAGAGCGAGCTGTGTGAGGCCAGTGTCTGTGTTGTGTTTATTGGTTTCCTCAGGCTGAGAGCAGGACCTGAAACATCAAGGGTAGTAAACAAATGTTCACTGGCTAGGTCACTGAAAATTAATGAGTAATTCTTCCATATATATGAAGTAATCCAATTACGGGCGTGGGTGTTCATCAGACATTTGTCAGGGGACTGTTACGCCAGGCAGTGTTCTAGATCCTGGGGAAACAGTAGTGAACAAAGTATATTAAAACCTTTGCCCTTTTTGGATTTACATTCTATTGGGAAAGGGGCACCAAAAACTAAGTAAGTAAATAAAACATATACCGTGTTAGATGATGAGCTTTGGAAACAAAAGGCAAAGGATAAGGCTGCACGTGTGGGTGGCGAGTACAGTTTAAACAGGCCCAGAAAAGGCCCCGGCTGAGAAGAGGACCTTTGAGTAAAGACAGAAGGGCGAATGTGGCGTCAGGGAGGTACCGGGGGAGAGCGTTCCAGGCAGATGGATGGAACCTGTAGCAGGAGTCGAGGGGTCTCTGGCCGTTATGGGTACTGCGGTGTTTTCTCACAAAGTGTTTAAGAAAGTATGGAGAAGTCGCTCTATAAAATTCAGGGCACAGAAGTGTTGCCTGACTCCAGAGGAAAAGGATGGAAATACAATCTGGGAGCAGGGTCTCTTCTCTCTGGCTAAGAAAGAGTCGGGGGTGGGGGGGGTGACGGCAGCAGTCAGCCTGGGGGCTTGTTCACGGGAGTCATCAGTGGACGGGAGAAAGGTCGGCCTGACCCTCGGAAGGCACCACCTGTCAGTACCTTCCACGTTCATTCTGCCTTTGATCCTTCGAGCAACCCCACTTTGCAGAAGCGACTCGGAGAAATTCGATTGCCTGCTCAGGGCTGTTCTGGTAGAAGGTGACATCTGGCCCTTAGAGCTCCCGACGGCAGGCTGTCCCTGCCTTTTGCTTGGACGTGCTGCGGCTCTCTCTCTGCTGCAGAAGGAGCCTGTCACTGTGTCTTGGGCCTGAGGGATCGCTGGCCTGCAGGTCTGATGGGTCATTCCCAGCACACATTTTCATGTGCTCTATTCTAAACTCCTGTGTCCAATCTGGAGGCCCCTCAGTGACCTGGACGGCTCTTTCTTGGTCCGCCAGCCGTGACCCTGGCACTGGCTCAGTGGAAGTTCATGTTCTGACTGTTCAGAGTTTATGGATTTAACACCATTTCCACAGCTCTGTGCCTTTGTGGATGTAATTCTCCTGCCTGAAAGTCCTCCTTCCTCCCACCATCAGCGTGTGGGTCTGAGCTCAGAAGAGCGCCCTCTGCTGTCTCGGTAGACATTGGGGCGTCTTCTGTCCCCTGGAGACACCCACCGGAGCTGTTCCTTTAGGCGGTTGTAGCGATGTGTGTCTGTCTGCTCTCCGTGTAGTGACCTCGCTAAGGGCAGGGGCCCCAGTCTGTCCCTGAGGCCCTACAACTCCACCCCCCGCAGCTACTCAGCGGCTGTTCCTCGGCGTTTGGACACATTTAGGAATCGTTTCAGCTGCTGTGGTTTGGGGACAGCCTTTGGCGTCAGTTTTAGTTTTGAGTCCTGACTCTTAGATTTCAAGGAATCATGGCTGGTTATGTTAGCTGGATGTTTTAAGTACATTTGAGTTTTCCACTGACTACCTAACGGCTCATTTTTGGGTCTTTTCAGCATCTTCCTCTGCATAAAGCAGCACTGCTGAGTTTGGAATTAGGTATGACGAACTCCTGATGAATCATCCTGGAAACTGAAATCACAGTGGCTTCCGTTTGTTGCCTCCACATAATAACCCTCGGGGAAGCTTGGCTCTCACTCAGC